CAAGGATGCCACCCCAATGCTCTCCAACACCCAAAGGGGCCCCTGATCCTCCCCTTTAACCCATCATGTCCACACCTGTAACCATGCCCAAAAGGCATGGCTAATGTTACAGGTACATAGGCAAAAATATTAATACAAATCTTCTTTTAGATTGCCAAATAGTATTCCATAGCATGGACACTGCTTTTTTTTAATAACTCACTATAAAATAATACCATTTTAAAGAAAAATGTTAAATTTTTAAAAGATCAAATATATATTTGAAATTCACTTTATATGACTTCTTAAAAGTTGAACAAAGCATTTTTGAGAAAACTTTACTGTTAACATGTATGTTTTTCTAAATGATAGCAGGGTAGTTCTGTCCCTGGATCACCATCTAAGACTAATATGGAGTGTTAAATGATGTGAAACCAATTGTCATTGTGTTGGATGAGAACTATGCCATAATCACATGAATATTGCTAACCTTTCTATTTTCATTTTTTTCATATAAATTTTCTCAGCTTGGGATTTTTATTTCCTAACATGTGATGGTACATCAGAACCCCATATTTTAATTTGAGTTTTGAGACAGGCAGTCCTGCAGCCCACACTGGCCTCAAACTCAGTGTGTAGCTGAAGTTGACCTTGATTTCCTGAGCTGCCTCCACTTCTTTGGTGGGGGAATTATAGACACGTGTGACACTGACACACCTGGTTCCTAACTCCATCTCTTGGCCATCTTAACACAACTAGCTGGCCTTACAACAAAACTGTAAATCACTGTGTTTCATAGCGTGTGCGGACCAACCCACAAGAGTGCTGCCCTTTAAGAAACCAGGCACCCTCTGTAAATGAAATGGGTTTTCAGCTTGAAGATAGGGGAAGTGAACTATTAGCTACTCCCTTGTCTTAACAGGATAACACTGTCTCTTTTCATTAAAAATAATTTTAAAGCATCGATAGTCATATTAAATGACATAGCCCCACCTCATTAGTCTGAATGGTACGGTTGGCCATTTTAAACAAACTGCAGTCATATCACCTGCTAGTAAGTACTGGATCTAAAATAAAGCCATGGAAATGAGAAATAATTCTCACTTAAAACCTCCTTTGGTAATTCTAGAAATTAGGCAGGGGTGTCGACACACACCTGTAACCCCAGCACTTGGAGGCAGGACGACCAAAAGCTCATAGAGACAGGCTGGGAAGATCCTTCCATATCTATAGAGGCATTTGCCACCATTAGGGTTTAATGACCTGAGTTCAGCCCTGGGACTGGGACCGACATGATATAAGAAGAGAAATAATTGTCTAGGGTTGTCCTTTGCCTTTCGAGTGCACACTGAACAACAACAATGATCGTCATGCCAACACAAACGGGAGAGCCCTCCAGGGGCCCCACCTCTAGATAGAGCTACAGTAATTAGCAACTGCTGAGAGACAGAGAACCTGTCTTTTCCCGAGATGAGCCCCTGCTGTAAATGACTATCTTCTGATACAAGCAACTGTCATCTTGGGGAGCATCTGGGTCTTCCTTCAAAAGGATAATTCCAGCTGGGTTTGTTGACTGTTCAATCACCCCTCCTGTAAGGGGGGGCAGTCACTGGACCCTCACCCGGGTCTCTAACTGCTCCCTACCATCTGTTGAATGTACATCTGACTTAATTGTACATGACCTGGGGAGGGACTGGAGTTCATAGGTCAGAGAAGGCTAGAGAATGGAGGGTGAGGGCTCCACCTGTGTCAAAGTAGGAAGATATCATCCCGTCTGGGTTAAAGCTTTCCAAGTGGGCCCTCTTGGGAGGAAGAAGCACCCACATCCCTCTCAGGAACTCCCCACCTATGCTCAGTGAGGAAGCCCAGTGAGTCCGCTAGCCTCCCAGAGTTAACTTCAGGTGGAATCATGCCTAGGTTTGTTGTTGAGCCCTTAGGAAGAGGGGTAGACATTACTTAAGTCCTCCCCTAACTGGCTATCTAATACCAAGCTGTCAGTCTAAAACATAGAAGCGACAATGACACTGAAGGGATTCACCAGGTTATATTTACATATGTGTGTGTGTGTGTGTGTGTATGTGTGTGTGTGTATAATAATAATTTAACAATAAAAGGCATTTGAGATGGCATGGTGGAACACGGGAAGGGTTGGAAGGAAAAGAAAGGAGTGATATTTTAATTAAAATTTAGATCCTCAAAATTACTTAAGCTCAGTGTAAAAAAATGAAAACAAATTATCACATGCTTGACTGTTTTGGAACAAGATATATTTGTCCTTTCAAAGCCATGAACACTGTACCGTGCACTGGATCACCCCGGGAGCAGGAGAGTAGAACTCTGTGATCTCCCCATCTCCTCCCTTAGACTGTTTGCCTCTTAAAACAATCACTGTGTTCTGTTTTTATAACAAGCTCCTTGTCTTCATTTGTTTATTTTCAATTGCTGTGCCTACTTACTTCTGAGGGAACTTCAAGATAAAACATCAAAGTGTTGAAACCACAGGACATAGACAACCTGTAGAAAACAAGGCAGCGAGGCCTTGTGATCACAGACAAGCAGGCTTGGGACCTGCTCTTGACAATGCAAGGATAACACAGGAAGAATTCTCCACTGGGGGTGGGGGCATGGGAGGTCTAGCTTTGTTTATAAAGAAGATAGCTTATGCACCAATTCATTATAGCACCGGTCTCTGTTGAAAGGACAAGTGACTGACCCTGAGACCATCATAAGGATGTGTCACTTTTACAAGAGAAATTCTTGTAAATTACCTCACGTTACCTTTGATGTCCTTAAATGGCAACTGGGCAAAGGCAACGTGGATTCTAGAGTCCTGATGTGAAAAACATGTACAAAAAGGTATTTTCCCACTTGAAGCCATTCCAAGTTCCTGCTGTCTCAAAGGGCGACATTGATACAGTCCTACCTAAACCTAAAGGGGGACATCATGCTTTGCATTGCTTCTCCGGAATAGCTGGCCCATATTCAGCTTTCCAGGTGTGGATGGTCCGTGGCTGGACTGTGTTCACTGAAGTGTGGAGACGAGGAAGAATGGACACAACAAAGAGCAAAGGAGGAAAAAAATCCCAGCAGTCACTGATTGGGGAAAAGAAAGACGATGACAAAATAAAACAGTCTCAGCGGCTGTGACCCAGGTGTTCTCCTTTTCCAGTCTCCTCTTCCTCTGGGTGTATCTGTAAGTCACTATAACAACGGAACATGCAAACCACCCTTCCTTTACCCCGCGTGCATTTGATCAGCAATATTTTTACACACTGTTGGACGGTTCCATTATGTATCACTAATGCCTTACAGCATTTTTCTACATATAACTGCTGTCTTAAAACTACAGGGTTACTGGAGTTTTGCTTTAAAAAAACTAGACAATTTGAAGAATACTAACACATATAAAGAAACACCACAGTGATTTTTGAAAAGGATAATCTTTAATATTAAATGTATTGATTTAACTTTTTTTTAAATACCCACCTCTTTCCAATTTGGTCTAAATATAATCTCTTTGGCTTTTTTTGTTTGTTTGTTTTGTTTGGTTTGGTTTTACAAGACAGGGTTTCTCTGTATTGTTTTGGAGGCTGTCGGTCCAGCCCGGCCTCGAACTCACAGAGATCCGCCTGCCTCTGCCTCCCGAGTGCTGGGATTAAAGGCGTGCGCCACCACCGCCCGGCTTCTCTTTGGCTTTTAAAGGACCAAGAAAAAAAGTGCAATGTGTGAACAAGCCATTCTGAATCTTCAACTTTGTTTTCTTAGTCATCATGTTAGAAAGTATTGTCTGTTCTACGTGTTGGGTGTTGGCAGCGTTATCAGTTTGCCGGCTCGTTATTTAATGAAGGCATCAGCTCTTTCTGTGCATGCCACACATGCCTGGGCACACGCCACAGATGTTTTGCTCCATTTGTTTGCTTGTAAACATGACCAAGTTTGAATCTGCAAGCAGCTTCCCCTATCGAAAAACATCTCCACTTCCCAGCTGGCAAATGCTCCAAGAATGCATGTGATTTGTATGTTCGTTAGCCTAGGCAAAACATAATTAGGAGGATAAATGTGCTGCCACCTCTCACACATGTACACAAATATCACATGCCACTGCAGAGTCAGTGTCAACTCTAACTTGGGTTTGCATTTCCCAGGGAAACACAGTATGGGAAATGGTTCCAGAAAACAGAATACTGGGTGTTTTGTCTTCTTCTCTGTAAAATGGGTAAAGTCATATGACAGTCTCAGGAGGAAATCATGAAAACAATTTGGAGATATCTAATGGTGCCACGTGTATGACATAATAACACGGACATGAGCATCAAATTGATAAACATTAGCATTCCGGTCATACCGGAATGCTGATCTCTGTTTCCTCTGGCATGGAGAATGGTGGCAACTCACCATTTAAAAGCTGAAGGGTCTCAGAACCCATGTGATGTGATCCCATCATTTTTATTTAATTTCTAATTACAGTCAGAACAATGGCAGACAGAAGGCAGTGATTACAGCCACCTGTGAAGATTAAACGGGTCCCCCTATAGAATAATGTCTTCCAGACGAAGCAGAGCTCATCCATATTACCATCACTTGCAAATACATTATTTTTTCCTCTCTTCTTTAGAAATATGATAATCCCAGGAAATCAGAGTTTCAGTGAAGACGGCCAAGCCACTCTTCCACGCATTTGTGAAGGATTTTCCCACACCTGCATTAGCTTCCTAACACTATATTTGATGTTAAAAGATATGATTTCCTTGTAAAACATCACTGGCAAGTCAAACTATTCTTTGGTGGTATTTTAAGTCCTCTTAAAAACACAATGGAATAAACAGAACCCCAGGCGGTAAAGACAATGAGGTACCCTCAAAAGTCTTAGAAAGAATGCCGAGAACATGCCCCAGGGTGTTTCTGAGGCACAGAGCGTACTCTTGTGTGCTGGACCACAGCGGAAGAGAACAAGTTTCTGTCAGCAGGGTTGAGGTTCAGCCCTCCAGAAGAAGCTGCCAGCAGGCAGTCCTTTTATGAACACGCAAACTCAATTCACAGCTGCAGGTTTACTTCCAGGCTGGGGACACCTTCCACCTTCTCCCTTCCGGCTTCCATCCACACTGTCAGGCGCCAGGCTTTCCAGGTGGCTCCTTCCACGGCCTCAACTAAGGTCAGTCTCCCCACACTTCAGTCACCTTTGAGTAAAGTGACTCATGGAGAGGGTAAAGGGAGAGCATCCCCGAGAAAAAAATACGTATGGCATTGGAGTCGCTGACTGATGATTCGATTACTCATACTGCTCTGCAGTCATCACTTTTTCTGCGTTGTAAAAGATCTCTCCTTACTTTATCATCAAAATTGAACATATCATTTGGTATTTGGCTTGGATTGAAAGTAGTGGCTAACAGGTTATTTTACTTGTCAGACCTTTAAAACCTTTGTTTTGTTTTTTTTAGTTTTTCGAGACATGGTTTCTCTGTAACAGCCCTGGCTATCCTGAATTTTGCTTTGTACACCAGGCTGGCCTCCAGCATAGAAACACACCTGCTTTTGCCTCTCAGATGCTGGGATTAAAGGCGTGCACCACCATCCATGATATTGTTTTTCTTAACTATACGCAGTTTTAAAAGTAAAACAATAACTCATGCTAGTGTTGCTCCAAGCTTACACAGTTAATCTGGGATTTAAACTTACGTTTAAATTTAAACTATGTTCTGATGGTACAATAGTCTCCTATAGGGACTTGACTAGAAGGGGTTAGGCTGTGGAGGAGATATTTTTATTGCATCAAAATCAAGGAAGGAAATGGGGGAAGTGGTCAGGGTCAAATGTCTTGTTTTTGTCAGGTGGAAAGCACATCCCTGTTTTCTCCCTGCAATTAGTTTGGATTTAGAGACTTTTCTTAATGGCACAATAATTACATATCTGTGAAAATAAAAATCATTCCTGTTGGGCAACATCTTTCATTTGTCATTTCAGAAGTGTTTAGATGAAGTGAGGAGGCAAAGCTCACTGTGTCAGAAAGCAATGATGGCGCACGATGGTAGTCTGGAGCTCTTAGTGACACTCTGGATATCATAAGGTAATCGGTGCTTTCTGAGGAGATGAAGACAATGCATGGAAGCCAGCTATTCATTCTGTACGTTGTGGTGGACCTAACCAAACGCATTATCTCATTGACGCGGTTTCATTGTTTGCCAGTGGGAGATACAAGACTCACTGCATTGCATTTGAATACGAGAGAGCAAAAGTGAGAAAAAGAGAAGACACTTTCTAGTCTTTTACCATTCATGAAATAGGAATATCTATGCACATATATAATCTACACATTTGGCCACAATGAAAGTTGTAGAATTTTATGGATGTATGCAAAAAGACAAGTTGGGTTTCATAATTGGAAGAGGTTGATGAAGCGTTAACAATAAGCAACCCGACTTTTAAAACGCGACTCAAATATGTTTTCCAAGGAAAGTTTGGGGAAAAAAATCTTTCTTCAACGCACCTCTCCATGATTATAGAGTATTTGAACTATTTTCAAACACCTAAATTTAGAAAAATTCCATATAGGCTTGAATCGTCTCTGTTACACAGACTTGGTTGCTATGACGGCAACATGATACAATCGTTTATTGCCATGACAATCTGCTGTAGGTTTTAAAAATACGTTATCTATTTTTATTAGTGTTGTCGATTGTGCCAGGAAGGGATACCACCACTTCACCTAATCCACAGAGCCTGTAACTCAGGGAACAAGTGGAAATGATTTTGCTGGAGAGGCAAAGCTCAGAGCAAGCCAGCCGCTTTGGACTCCACGGTGACACGCACATCCACGGCTGAGGACAGCACTCTGGCCAGCTGTCTGGCTGAATAGGATATGGGCCCGGTTTACATTTTCCGTGTGGCCTCTGCTTTACCAGGTCAGGTGGGAGCGCATGTCAGAAAGGACCAGATGCTCAAAGAGGAGTCTGCATTTTGATAACCTCTCAGGAGAGAGGTTAGTGTGTGCTTGGTGCCCAGGCTTATGGGATTGTCCTCTCTAAGGTAGGGACAGCAAGGGTTCATGGTAGGTGGACGGTAAGGTGTCATTCAAACCTACCTGTGCCCAAATGGCACCAGGGCTCCTACCTTTTCCCCATGTGGCTCTCATTTTTCTCCACCTGCCATTCTCAGAAGTAACTAATAGGAATAATAACATTCCAGGTGCTTCGTGTCGTACGCAGGGAAAGAGCGCAGCATTGATTGTATTTGAACCCACTTTTTGAGTCATCAGCAACCAGGCAGGCAGTTAAGTCATCCTGATCATTACTCCTAAAACATAAACATTTTAAAAATAAGTCACTGTGGAAAAAGCTGCTTCCTTCCTGCAGCTGGGATGTGGGTTAAACATTTAATACGTGCTGTGTAGCGCACAAGTGCATCAGGCCGCTAGCCTGTGACTTGCTGCCAATCCACGGATAGATGAGTGCTTGTGCTGTTCCCCTTTCACAGATGAGGACGTTGAGGCTGCCTTGAGAGGAGGTTTGTCCTCAATGATACTCCATGCCGCCTGCCTGACACGGTGCGTCCTATGGGAATCTCTGCAAGATGGACACTCCCATCCATTCTTGAGATCTAGTCGCAGAAAAACATCCCTGAGAGCATTACAGCAGTTTACTGGAGCTGCGCTTCTGTGGGTCCTCAGAAGAGGCTTTGTCTCTGGAGGCAAGGGCTGGTCTCAATGCTTGTACACTGCATCAAAATGTCAGGGGTGGGATCAGGAGACCACGGCAGTTTAGCTGCAGTCCTCATGTGTTTTACACACACACACACACACACACACACACACACACACACACAAACCCAACAAACAAATGGTATTTGTGCCCTGTGTCACAAGCTGACCATCACCAACAACTTATTCTGATCTCCTGGAAATTGTCATCGATGGAAATTGAACTTATCCGTGCAAATCAGAAACAAACCAACAAAGACAGGAGCTGGGGAGATGGCTCAGCAGTGATGGGCACTGGGTGTTCTTCAGAGGACCCAGGTTCAATTCCCACCTACGTGGCGGCTCACAACTGTCTGTAACTCCAGCCCCAGGGGATCTGGTGCCTTTTCTGACTTCTGCAGGCCCCGAAGCATGCACATGGTACACACACATACTTGCAAGCAAAACACCTATACACATAACATACAATTTTTAATTAAAAAAATAAAAGACACCGCCTGCCCTAGTTGATGTGACTACTTTTATCTCCCTCAAAAAACAAATAAGCAAACAAAAAACTTTACAAGTGATCATTGAATATATATTTTAAAATTCAAATTCACTAGGCATCAATGGGCAAGTCACCGAATCAGCAAGCCCTTAAAATGACTTCCCTGGAGCTGGGGAGGTATCTCCATGGATAGAGTACTTGCTGAGCAGGCATGATTAATGGAGCTCAGATCCACAGAGCACTTGTAAAAGCTGGGCAGACATGGAAGCCACTTGTAATCTAGCACTCAGGAGCTAGAGAAAAGGGAACCTCTAGACAAGCTAGACTAGGTGAAATCAGCAAGCTCCAGGTTCATCAAGCGATTCTGCCTTCATTAAAAGAAACGTGTGTGAACAAGGAAGATGCTTGACATCAGCTTCAGGCTTCTATATGCACGCACACACTAGTACCTATACATATAAAAATATGTATACATGCCAGGCATGTAGCGCATGCCTTTATTCCCAGCACTTGGGAGGCAGAGGCATATAGATCTTTGTGAATTCAAGGCCAGCCTAGTCTACATAGCAAGTTCCAGGCTAGCAAGGGTTATACAGGGAGACCCGCACTACCACTGGCTGAGAAAGTAATTACTTAGTTCACAAAATGGTAATAAACATTGAAAAGGGGAGTGGGTGAAATTATGATTTTTTTTTAAAAAAGCTCACCTTTGTGTGAAATTAGCAAACACTTGATTTTCCAAATAAGAGAATTGGTTTCTAGCAAATTAGTCCTAAGAAGTTCCAACTTGAAAAACATTCAAAGTCTGAGTAACAATATATACAAATTATCATACTCTTGTTTTAGAAAGGAAAACATTTCATTTAAACAAAGCTATATTTCTTAAATGTCATAATAGAAGCAAGAAATACATGGAGTTGCAATGTTTGTTTTCCAAGATGACACCTTGAATTGGTGTAAGTTATGTATTTTACAAACTTCAAGCCGTGGTAAAACACAAAGGATGGGCGTGATGATGGTGATGCTGCTGATGTTGGAGGTGATCACAATGATGATAGTGGTGATGATGTCCGTGATGGTGTTGATGATGCTGATGGTGGTGCTGATGGTGGTGCTGATGGTGGAGATGGTGGCGGTGGTGGTGATGGTGGTACTGATGGTGCAGATGATGGTGGTGGTGTTGGTGGTGGTGCTGATGGTGCAGATGATGGTGGTGGTGGTGGTGGTGGTGCTGATGGTGCAGATGATGGTGGTGGTGGTGGTGGTGGTGATGGTGGTGGTGACAGTAGACAGCTAACACCTGATTTAATGTTAGGTTTGGAAATGTACTTTACATACAGCAGCTGTCATCCTTCTTCTGCCCACTGTAGTGTGTCCTGAAACAGTAGCTTACAGACACCCCAGCTGCTTACACACCACATCCACCCACAGCTCCTCAGGTTCCTGAATGGATTCCTCTGCTAGATCTAATTTTCATGCATAAAGATAGTTTTTTGATAGGTATTTATAGTTAATGAAAGTATAGGTAACTTAGTACACGAGGAGAAAATACATATGTTTGAAGAGACCAAAATAGAATATCATTTCTTTTCAAGTAAGAAAATAGGAAAACCTCCTAGCAGCATAACACTTCATGGATATGAAATAAAGGTTTATGATGAAATGTCTTTTGAAAATGAATGAATACACACAAGCAGCTAATACCTAGAAAACAAGTCAAGACAATGCTTTCTCACTTTCAAACACCTGTTGGAATAGAAATGAAACAGAAACAATCAGAGAATAAGACTGAAGAAGGAGACACAGATTACAAGGGAAGGCATGTTCATTCGATCATCATTCAACAAAATGTTTGTTGACTGTGAGCTTGTAACGAGGGAGCAGTTCCCTGCTCGGAGGCAAAATCTCACTTCTGACAGACGGCAGATGTCACTCAAACTTTCACTGTGATAGTGGGCACTATGGTGCCGCCTATAGTCCCAAGGGATTCCTTGACAACAGAGGGAGACTCCCTTCTCAAGGGAAAAGTTCACCATAGTGGAATGTATAACTCCAGACTATCATCAGAGCTGCCAAGCAGAAATAGGACATGCCTTTGGAAATTGGAAGGAGCACCTCAGTGATCTTGGGGCTCAAGTAAGGTATTCCGAGGGGATCCAGGTTTTACAGTGCCTGAAACTATACACAGAGAGTCCTCTTCCAAATTATGAAATTATAACCATCCAATCTCACTTGCCAGTGAGTGGTCGTTATTCAAAATAGGAAAGGAGATGATAGCAAATTATAAAAATTCAAAATGTGAAAAATATCGCAACATGATTACGATTCTCCAGACAAGACTATGTGTCTCCTCTTGACATACCTCTCTAATATCTTCTGTCTGTGGGCTTTTTAATTGCATTCTCACACAGTAACAGTTTGGGAGTAGACTTTCTGACTGTAGAAAGATAACCTAGCCATTAGGCTAGGCTTGGTGGGTGGCATTTGTTGTTGAATTCTGAGAACTATGAACTCGTTTTTTGATAACACCGAACACGGCTAGGACTGGAGTCAGATTCGAAGAAAGAGTAGATCTATTTTATGAGCAACAGACAAAAGCTGATAGACTTTTCCAGACTGGCTCCTAACTCTGCATTCCATGCTTCTCTTCCACTACACCTGAACTTTTGGGGTTAGATAACAAACTGAACCACTGTCAAAAATTTGGAGGGGGGCAGAAATCGCACCTGTACCCATAGGGAACAAGTATAGATCTTGTCATTATTCTTTAAGCATTGCAATGTAACAACTTTTGTCACCTTAGGTATAGAAGGAATCTAGAGATGAATTAGCATGCCTAGGAGGATGAACCTAGTGGATATGCAAATGTAAGAAAGTTCACCACCCAGAGATTTTGGAATCCACAGGGATCCCTTTCATTCACCCACTAAGCTGAAGTAAATTCAACCCATAGACGGCACCCAGAGGACTGTTCCAATGCCAGCATGAGAATGAAGTACAGTCAGGAGTCCTAACCAAACAGAGTTTAGCTCTTTAGTTTGTTATGTTTTACAAAAATATATGGTCATGTGATCAATAGTGATGTCACCTTCCTGGGAACCTCAAAAGGAGTGCCTATAAAGACAGCTCTTACAGCTTCTTTGGCTTTGAGGTAAGTTCATCCCTGGGGTCCCTGAGGGGTCCTTAGGGCTGAGATATAAAGGGCAGAATTTGACACTGGCATGAATCTTGTTGGCTGGGGATGGGTGTCAAGGGAAGCTGAACCTCCTACCCCCACACAGCCATCACCTAACCAGAGACCCCTCAAGGTTTTCTGACAAGGTCCTGGATATGCTAAGATCTGTCTCTATGGAACTGGAGAGATGGCTCCGAGGTTAAGAGCACTGACTGCTCTTCCAGGGGTCCTGAGTTCAATTCCCAGCAACCACATGGTGGCTCACAACCATCTACAATTCAGTCTGGTGCCCTCTTCTGGCCTGTAGGCAAAACACTGTATATGTAATAAATAAAAAAATATTTAAAAAAAAAAGATCTGTCTGTAGCCTATCACTTCTGGTCAGGAATGTATTCCTACACAGTTTCCTCCTGTTTCTTCCTTCCCCTCCCCCACCACACTGCCTTCCTTAATAGGAATCAATATCCCAGCTCATTTACCTCTATTTTTCCCTCAATGGATTTGAATCGGTCCCAAAAAATGTGTACACGCCTTGCGTGGGATGCACGTGTTGCTGGAGTCCCTTGTAGGGGCTTCGATCTGCTTCTTTCCATGGGATTTGTCAGTAGCACTTCCATATCCTGGTTCTATTGCAGATTATATCTGTGTTGTCTTAGCCTGTCCCCTGCTTTTCCTGTAAACTGGTGGTTAGATCAAAAGATCTAGTCCAGTTTGGAATAAATATTTTGGCAAGAATGCTGGAGGGGTGTTTCTGTCTGCTCATGGCTACAGCCACTGCTGTTGGGTTTATCTTTGTCTTGTTTGCTCTTTGGCTGTTGGCTTTGTTTTCATTTTGAGACAGTCTCTTAGCTTGGGCTGGCACCTAACTCGGTAAGTAGCCAAAGGTAACCTTGAACTTCTGATCCTCCTGCCTCCACTTCCCAAGGGTTTGGGTTACAGGCATTTGCTACCGTGCCCAGTTTACGCATGGGTAGGGATTGAGTCTGAACTCAGGATGTCACGCATATTAGCCTAGCACTCTACCAACTGACCACATGCCCAGCCCTTTCTTTTTAATGCTAAAATTCACCAGGTCACGTCCTGTCATCCCACTTCATAGCAAGCGTTTGTACTGCGCTAGGTAGCCATCCACTCACGGCCTGGGTAGGCCATTTCATTACAAGATGCCAAGTGGGAGAACTTGTCCATCCTCTGGCTGAGACACATCGGTAGAGAAGTTACCAGCACAATCCATTCAGTAGCTTTGGAATACATTTTCTATAGAAAGACAATAAACGCATGATTCTTTGTCTTTTATTCATCAAGTTTCTTTCCCACCCCCCACGAATGTCTAGCAAGATCCAGTAGCAATCGTGTGATTTTAAAATATGCCAAACTCAGTGATTTTTTTCCTGTTTGCATTTCCGTTCATACTGCAGCTGTGTCTGTATTGTCTTGCAGAGTGTCCCAACTTTGTCTTCACGTGGATTCCTAAGTTTTGAAGTTGACCCTAATATATCTTGATAGCTCCATGTTCTGTGATGCAAGTCCTCCACTCTTCGTGTTACTCTCATGCCCCAGGTGCTTGTGTTCTGTAGACAGGAAGGGACACCAGGAGCAGCTCCACCGGGTTTCTATCTAGTCCCCATAGAATGCTCTAAAGGTGGGACTAGATGGCTGTTCCACGCTGC